GATCTTTTTACATTAATTCTCCTTACAATATCTATTTATTTTTCAATTTTGCTCCACTGTTATTTTGTGTGGTGATCTGACGGATCATTAAAATACAGGCCTAATTATACTTGGATCCTCGTTTTCATAATGAGAGCAAGATAACGTGGTCACTAGAATTAACACCTGAAGATTCGAAACACTTTAGGAATCCAGCGTGTCAAACATAGAGTTTCAATACTGTTGTTTGCAGATTGTCAAGATCTGGAGAACAATGAGCAGTGAGGCTGATTAACTTGATGTCCAAGCTGATTTTGACAAACTAGTTAGGGGATCATGAAGTTAGGGATTGGGGGTCTATTCTAGAATCAGTTCGCTTACAGACATTGAACAGAGCAATGGTCACCAGCATACTGTCAGTGATGCACCTATTTCATGCTTGCAGGAACAGGAAAACTGAACATAATGGTGAGCGATGAGTAGAAAACAACTGTAAGTTGTAGTACAACAGATGAGAAGGGTTTCTTAGTGTTATAATTTCGTCAAGCGTTCAGACACCTTGATGGAGATGTGCTGCTATTTTCATACATCACATATTTGAGATCTCACTCACAATATTACAACTAATCAGCTAGTCCATATCTCATTTTGGATGCCAACATCTGCGAACGTACTAAGTGACGGGGTTTTCCAAACTCCTCTATGTGATGGTTAGAAGTATTTGAATTATTATGTTAAATGGGAATTCCAGAAATAACGCAATTTAAACCAAACACAACGAGGTGAGCACAAAAGAACGTGATGCAGTTGGAATTCGGAATCAGGTGGACATCAATACAAGGAATTCATTAATTCATACAGACACAACACCCCCCATCGAGCTTGATAACCGAGGCCATCTCATTGGTAAATGCTGCGGAAAAGTGTTTTGGAAAGCGTGATCGGGACACATCGAACAGTACTCGCTCTGTCAACACGCAAATTGGTGTGAAGCAAACTCAGGTGAGTTCGAAAACAGGTGACTCACACCGACCAAAAGAGGGAAAAACAGTCTTCAAAGAGGTCTGTCTTAACCGAAAACTCAAGAAAAGAGGAATCTTCTGTCCCCCGTCTTTTAAATGGTATCCAGCAGGAAACGCATAGTAACCGCAATCGCAAGACTCGATCGGTTTCTTACGGGAAACATAACCTGACCTCCCAAATCGTCGACAACCCTCCGGAACCCCACAGTATGTTTGACGCAACTGTGGTTGCTTCTCATAGCAACGTTGACGAATGGGTACAGGTGTAAGGAAGAAACAACATAACAATATAAAAAGGGAATCCCGCCCCCATAAAAGTAGTCGAGAATTCGAATGCTGATCACAGTGACGGATCAGTTATTTTTCGTAGAATCAAGGAGAATGAAAGCTCTGAACCAAAAATTCGTTTTGAGCATGACATTGTGCTGGTGAAACAGCTACTTGATCAACTCATGCCTCAAAATATCCCCGGAGTCATCTTACTGAAGGTGTACAAACTAGATAGTCTAGCGAACTTGAAGCCTAATCAATCCGGACTGCTCAAAGTAGTATTCAAATCGTCAAATGAGCGCGACTTAATTTTACAGAATAGACATAAATCAAGAGGTTCAGGGGTTTTAATCCGTAAGGACTTGCCGTTGGCAGACCGCGTAAAAAAGACAGGAAGCCGGAAAAGAGCTGCAACTTATGTTAGACACTGACGAAAAGGACATAAAAATTGTAAATTTTCGGGTTGTAAGGCTTCGACAGAGAATGATTCCGAAGGCACTGCTGCTGATTCGTTCGGTCTATCACAGTCCAAGCTGTGAGATAACTGAGGTCCTACTAAGCAGTCTCAATACTTGGTCACAAAGCGGTCAATGTCTAATCCTAGGGGACTTTATTGCACTTATGGTAGACTGAATCGTCAGATAATTCCTTCGAGCAGGAACTAGTTGATGCGGTTACCACATGTGCCTTAGTACAACGTGTGAAAGAAGCGACTAGGTACGACCCGGACACTGAATCATCCTTACTAGATCTGATACTCACTCACTATGTGGATGACGTTGCGAACCTCCATTACATGCCACTCCTAGGTTAAAAATGACCACGCAGTTTTAACTTTCGACTTCCGTATAACTGTCAATCACGAACACGCGCAAGCTCAATCCAAACCTAACGTCTGGAAAGCAAACATACCATATATCATGCACTAAGCATCGTCAGTAGATTGGACAGTAGACCCAGGATCCTCAATTGAAACGGCTTGGGACGCACTTCGAAATTTATACTTAAATGTTACCGCACCCCACATCCCTTGGACTATACCAAGGGGGTCGAGAAACTCCCCACCATGGTTCAGTAGGGAGGTTCGCATCCTTCTACATAAGAGACGAAAAATGTGGGCTACTAGAAACTGATGAGACAAAATCTCAGTATTGAAAAGCTCGGAATACCTGTACCTCGACCCTCCGTAAGTCTAGAAAGTTGTACGAAGAAAAGATTGTTAAGGAATCCATAGAATGTCCTAAACGCTTGTATTCCTATATAAACCAAAGGACAAAAAGAAGAGGAAACATTCCTGCATTATGGGGAGCCAGTACTGCCGCATCATTAGTGGAGGACGATTTCGGTAAGGCTCAAGTGTTCTCGAACTACTTTAGCAATGTGTACACCATAGATGCACCATTTCCGTCAGCGCATAAAAATCCCCCACACATACACTGGATAGCGTGACCATTAAAGAACTCGATGTCTTTGGTCTGTTAAATAAGCCTGACATAGGTAAATCTACGTGGCCCGATGAATTGCATCCCAGGCTACTGAATGAATTATCTAACTTCGTTGCGAAACCTTTAAGTATATGCTTTAATCTATCCGTAACGCAGGATCGTTTACCAAAAGACTGGAAGAATGCCATAGTAAGTTCTGTTTTCAAAACAGGTACGAAACATAAACCTGAGAATTAACGACCCGTTAGCCTAACTAGTGTGGTAGATAAAATCTTAGAAAAGATTATTCGGAAGGAGCTGTTTAAGTACCTTGCTGAAAACCGGATCCTTTCGGAAAAGTAGCACAGTTTCAGAATAGGTTATTCTTGCCTCACTAACTTATTAGTCGCTCGTGAAAGCTGATGCTCTATTAAGGTCCAAACGTTACCTGTAAACGTAACCCACATTGATTTCAGCAAAGCTTTCGACAAAGTCCCGCACAACCGGCTGTTATGTAAGCTAAGAAATATCGGGGATGGAGGCAATCTATTGATGTAGATAAAAGACTTCCTAGTTGGGCGCCAACAAAGAGTACGGGTGAACTCAAGGTTGTCCAGCTGGGAAACTGTCGTTAATGGAGTGCCCCAGGGTACAGTTTTGAGGCTAGTGCTATTCCTCATGTATGTAAATGACCTCCTTCGTCTCATATCATCGGTCTTGCTATATGCTGACGATGTCAAGATATGGAGAACGATACGATGTAAGGGTGATAGCTTAGAACTCCAAAATGACCTGAAGATATTATGTGAATGGTCTGAAACCTGGCAGTTGCCGATAAATACTTCCAAGTGTGTTGTGATGCATATCGGTCATCAAGGTACAGTTACATACACGATGAATAACACTGAGCTACCTGTCGTCCAGATACATAATGACTTAGGAGTCATCGTTAGCCAAGACTTGAAGATTACTGCAAACTGCCGTGCAATAGCCGCCGAAGGTTTTAGAACGTTATGGTCAATACGTAGGGCTTTTAGTCATGTCGACGCTAAAACGTTCTTGACTTTGTACACAGTGTTCGTACGTCCTAAACTTCAGTACTGCATACAAGCGGCTAGCCTTCGCTGAAAAAAAGACAGTGAGCTTCTAGAAAAGGTTCGGATAGTAGTAACTAAGCTGGTTCCCGGAATAGTGAGGCTTTCGTACGATGCTCGACTGACCAAGCCAAACCTTTTCCCGTTGTCATATCGTAGGACTAGAGGTGACTTGGTTACAGTTTTCCAATTGCTTAGTGATAAATTTGAACCTGATATGCCCTCATTTTTCTTGTCTTCCAAAAGGGAGAATTTACGAGAACACTCCCAAAAGTTCACAAGCCCGGAACAAATTACTTATCAACACCTACTTAAGCTTAGTTCGAACAATAACCTAAGGGGTAACACCCAGAAACTGGAAACACAACATAGCAAGACGGAATGTAGACACAACTTCTACTCCTTAAGAGTTGTCAAATGCTGGAATTCGCTGCCGGCCGAGCTAGTCCAAGCGACTTCTCAGGAGTCCTTCAAGAGGCAACTTGACCTATTCTTAAGGACCAAGGGCAGCATCGCACTATGATTTACCAATTTCTTTTCCTCTTTTATTGTTAACATACCTAGGTTCCTGCCTGGAGGATTTCGTGATCCCCTGCTACTAGACACGGAAGCCTGTTAAGCGAAAGCTTCTTCTATTCCGTCCACAACCATTTGAACCATTTGAACCATTTGGACTATCGACTTTCCCATCGAATCATCAACGAGTGGACTTCATTAACTCAGCACGTGGTTGAGGCTCCATCCGTCGACTCTTTCAAAGGAAAGTTGGATCAATTGAAAGACCACCATTGCCAGCACTAAAACAGGCCATCAAGCCCCCTGTTCTTTCCAAAGTGAAACTGAATGGGCGACTACGACATTTAAATCATTACCTCTCATCGTAGAACTTGAGGTGATCGTATATTGGAACTCCGTATCTTAAATAATGATTAAGATGTTGAAATGTCCGTTTTTTCTCTTCTTCGGAACCACTTATCTCCGAGGCCACTGAAGGAAAGCGCATAGACCGGAATAAAATAAGCTCAGATTAAGATCCAGTTTCTCGCATCGATGAGTCAGTGCCTAGAACAACCTATTCAAATAAGTAGTATCATCCTTACTAGTAAATAATTTTGTGGATAATCTGAAGCACTACAGGAAAACAAGTGCCAAAGATTAGCACAGTTCATCCGACCTTCAATCTTTGTAATTGAAGACAGGTATTGAACATTGTACGCACTACGCACTTGTTTGAGGCCTGGGCGTATGTATTGTTTGTTTACAACTATATGTTATAATAAGGTGTTTGTAAACATTATATTGCTCTAATACATTGCGTTACTCAAGAAGGAGGACATTATTTCACTTGCTGAAGTCTCAAAAACTTTTCTTAAAATCGAACTGTCACGTATAGTTCGAAAATTCATCGATGGTTGGACTGTAAGTTTCGGTTTTCTCGAGAATGCCAATTATTCTGAAAATTCTCTAAAGTTCGCTCAAAATTTCTATAGGACTGAGACCTTTCAGAATGTCGAGTCAAAAAATCCACAGGATTGGCAGTTTAAGCTAACTTAAACTGCCAATTAGCTTAAAGCTACCATTTGAGAAAATTGGTAGTCCCAGTGTAATTATAATAAAGCTCTTCGCTTTTTAACGGTGAGACTTCAATTTCTGGAAAATAGGTGTCTGACATTTTTTTCGAACTAAATTTTTACTATGGATATGATTTTTTCACGAAAACTATGCTAATATATTGTATAGTGTCGTAATTCAGTATTCATTACATATTCTATGTTCACTGTTCGTTGCTAAAGTATAAAGCTTTCGGTTTACTTGGTTTTGTCAATTATTTTGTTTCTGGGCTTTGGTTCGGTTCGAAAATAAGTTATAGACTTATCTGTACAGTTAGCAGTACGACATCCCCTTGAGACCTTGTGTTTGCTGCTTTTAGTCTTGCCGTTCTTCAGCCGAACTGTATGGCATGGTAGGACCTTGAGGAATGATTGTTCCAGTCTGTGGAGCTCGATTAGCTGATCACGATAGGCTAGCTTGACCACCACATCAAGGTCGCAGTAACTGTCGGGTTGTTTATATACATGAATGTTATCTGTGCTCAGTCTGTTGTGGACTACATTGATCGCTTTTCCCTTCTAAATATGACAGGTCTCTGGAGGTTCTCATAACCTCCATAATGCTATATTTAACATCCGTATGCTTATAATAACTTATAATGTTGTTAGATTTTGTCCATTATTTATTCACTGGTTTTGTTTTTATTTATTAATGAAACTATCCGTATTAAATTGTACAAACAAACATGCCCTTAACGAGTATAACTAGACCAACCATTGATTTATGTCCCTTTGACTCCACGAGTTTAAGAAATCGAGTAGTATCATTAGCGTTTAGCATATTAGTTGGCTCAGTTTAGTGGGTAGTCCTGTATATCATAACTTTATTTTGTCTGTATAGTTCAGTTCGGTTTTTATTTCATTCTGTGGTGTTATTTGATTACTTATTAGAAGTGGTAGAATTCGATTAAAACGAATATGACTCCAAACCACCAAATAAACACACGTGATTGATGAAATGCGGCTGGCAACGTAATCTTGAATGTGCGTTTCGTTCTATCTGGGACTTAGTCGGAGATATCTGCACCACAGAGTTGGTGTTCACTCCGGGATTTCAGGCTTTATTTTCCTTCCATACTAATCTCATCATACCTGCTTCGGTTTGGGCACCCGGGCAGTATCACAGCCCTCACACATATCGAATGAGATTTATGTGGCGCATATGTATTTGGTGCCTCCTTGTACGAATATCTGTGTTAAAATAAATAAATAAATATAATCGCATCATATGATATTCAGTAGCTTAATTTGAAAGTTATTTTCCAGACTTTTCTCTGTTGTACATAGCGCAGTTTAAATATGACTTTCCATTTTGTAATTATCAGGTACCATGAATGCAATTAACCCTAACAACTCTAATAACCTAACCTCTGGCTTTGGTCATTCAAATGATATGAATTTTGTGAAAAGTAATGAGAACCGTTTAGGTGATTCCAATAGTTTATCGTCTGTTGAATTAGCTCAATTACCAATGAACCCAATGTATACAAACGGCTCAACTGCAGAAACCGATGTTTTGAAAACGAATTATGGGATTCCTGCTGATGAGTGTTGGCTGTTCAAACCACCGAAGCAGCACCAAACTCAAGGTTCTGTTGAACCCATAAGAACATGGCTACGTGCTATATTTGATTCGCCAGATTCCTGCTTTTTCCATTCGCGTCGAAATCTCCTCTCCCGCCTCGAAGCGATCATTTTGGCTGGGGGACAAACTGAAGCATATCAGTTTGGAGGCAGTGTCCCATCTCTGAATCTTATCACTTCAGGATATCCACCGCGTCCGAATACATGTCGTACAGAACATTCTGTTTATGGATCTGTCGTATCCAATCGTCTGGTAACCGCTAGTTCATCAGACAGTATTTCGTTTCCTAGTCAACAGACAGTAACTAATCCTACAATGAACAGTGAGCATGTTAACATGAACACTTTCACACGTTCTCACAAACCAAGAATAAGTTTACCACCTCAGTGCAGTGCAAGTAAATCAGTAAAAAATGGTTCTCATAATCCTAATTCATACTTGTCTAACTCTACTGGAACGAACTTTTCTTTCAAACCGCCTAACAAGACTGGGTCATGTGATGAGCTAGAAACTACGTCTGTAAACACCAATGTACAGGAAATTGCTAGAAGACAAGAAGACACATTAAAAGCAGAGGTTGCAGCTCTAGCAGCGGCAGCAGCTGCTGCCGGCAAACATGGTAGTCAGCATTCTCTTGCTTCTTTGTGTAGGAATAGCCCACATGGGAGCTACACAAACATCGCTAGTGCTCCAGAAAGCCCTCACTCAAGCACAACAAAGCTAAACCAACCTCAGCAAAATCACGACCATTTCTATGTAAAACAGTCTCTGTCGTTTTCTCAAGAGTTTGAAGGGCAAATTGCAAACCAGCAACCAACACAAGATACTCATCTTGTTAATCATTCGTCTCATAGTCCTACTAGAAAAGACGTACTGTCCAACATTCCTGCTCACGCTTCTAATGTAGCGAACATAAAACAAAACCCTTACAAAATTTTGCCTCAAAAGCCTTTGCTCACAAATATTGTTCCAGAAATGGGGGACGAATCTAGACAATCTCAGAAAATTTCGGTTTCAACACATCCATCATTATATCCTCTTGCAGTAAATGCCACCGGAAACGTGTACATGTCTTCGGCAGAACCTCGCAGTCATTTTGGTTTTCGGCCACTACAACAAATCTCTACTGGTCCATTCAATAAAACTGTTAATTTAGGATTAAGACGTACATCTGATGATCAACCTTTATCCTCCGGAAACCCAAACCAATAATTTTTCAGTCCGCTTTAGTCGAGTTCTAGTCTTTCTAGTTTGTTGTTACTTCGACATCAATTCTTCTTCTCAGAATCAAATGGCTAATATAACATTATGTTCATTATTAGTTAATCATTATAATACTTATCCCTTATTTTTCAAATGCTAATCGTCACTGGCTTTTTTGCAAAGACTTTGCATTGTTCAGAAAAGGTTCTCCATTCGGCTTTTAGCTTTTTATTTACATTTTGTCAGCTTGCATTTCTCAGCCCTAGTGATTATGTTTCTGAAAAATTAATAGCATTTAATCATCTGATTATCTATATCCATGTATAATCCGCTCACTTATAACAAGGTGCACTTCAAAAGCATAATGCATTAATTATGACCATTTTTTGAATTTATTTCACAAAGTGTAATTTGACTATGTTTTTATTTTGGCATTTTGGTAATCTGGTAAACATTTATGATTTGAACTAATATTTATTTTTTTAATTTCTCTATACAAAAAGCTTTACTTGCATAACTTTAATTTGTACAGTTCAATTTTCCTTCAATTTCAGTTGTAACTTATTTACTTGTAATTTATCTTGTAGTGGGTTTTTACCAATGATGGATCCCGATAAACCAGGTAAGCTTTATTCGAAAAATTTCGTAAGTTTACTTATACCGTTGCATTCTCACTGACTTACACCAATGTATTTATAGATTGGTGGTTTCCGATACACATTTGTACCAAGTCCTGTGTTGATGATAACTGAATGAGTTTATTGATTTTTGTAAGTATTACTAATTTAAAAATAATTTCCATTCATTTGTCACGTTTCGAGCGTAATAAACTTACTTTTTTAATATGATTGATTAGAAGCTAAACAACACTTGTTTTTTAATTTCACATATCATCAAGTTCTATTCATACACTGGGTATTTCAACTCTAATTATTTGGAACCAGGATTTCCTCATCACTAAATACGATGGTCGGGGTGCTAATCTCTCAAGAATGTTGTTATGTCCTTCTTTCGTCTTTTTAATCAATCGCTATCCAAGTCGTTACTTTATTTTAATATTTTCCGTCTTGTTGAATTTTTTTCATGTTGATATAAAGTTTCAAATTTGGTGTGAACAAATTTGTAGCACTCCTAGCGATGTTAACGGGTTTAATTTTAGATGACTTGACTATAGATATTTGTATGTTCAACTTCGTACTCTCACTACAGAAATATAGACATGTAAATCTTAGTACTTCTAAAGGTTGTAGTATATAGCAACATAACAGTATGGCTGTACTTTGACTAAATTTGTTACTTGAACACTTCATATTCTCCAGTTTAATGTGTAAAAGTTTTACCTACCCGATTGTTGATATTCTTGCTTGAACATATATCTAAGAGGCGGGTCTTGAATAAAACAAAACGCACTTTGGATTCTACTGCTAAACACATCCCATCTATTCTATAGGAACTTCTTATTCCTGTTTTATTCATATAGTTTGTTCCGTAGTGCTACTTATGCTTTTCTTTTCAGAATTCAAAGATAAGCAAACTGCTGTTGAGGATACATATCGACAAATGCGAAAACTATGTGAGAATTACAAATTGTTCGCGAAACCGGATGACTTGGATGAACTATATTCGACTAGCCTAAATTTAAGTTATATCCAAGATGATTATGAAACTATAAAACATGAACTATCAGTCATTAAAGCTAATCGTCAAATTGCTCGAGACGCACTTTTAGCTGCCGGATTTCAATGTCCCGATGATCCACCAACATAGTTTGTTAGTTTTTGAGTCTCGATTTTTTTAATTTTAGAATATTTTTGTGTTTTAATTTCTATTGCTTTATATGGTATGTAGCTAGAAGATTGATTTTTGTTAGGAACTATAAAGATTAATTCGTTTTGACTCAGTATATATATATATATATATATATATATATATATATATATATATATATATATATATATATATATATATATCGGATTTTTCATAAAACTATTATCCAAGTTTTTTATATGGTGACTGATATTACCCACTGAGTTATCTAAATTGGATTAGGTTCACAACTGTGACTTAATGGTTGATAAAGTATTTGTGTACATGTCCCCTTATTCTGTTGACCATAATGTTCCAAATATTCTTAAATCATAAACCAGCATCTATAACTATTAGCCAAGCAAAGTTTTCTATTCACTATCCACTTGAAAAATAATAAACTAATTAATTTGCTAAACGGTGTGGAAGTCCAAGTCTACCGCTTGACTAAAGTTACTTTCACCTAGGACTAACGATTAATAAATATTTCTTGTCGGAATTATTTATTAAATGAGAATTCATTTTCCAAGCTTTACAATCTCAAATATATATACGTATTTTTCAAGGTAATAGTAATCACAATAATACTGATAATGAAATTCTGTTAAACATTGTAACAGTCAGATAGAATAAACAGAGGTATTAAAACAATTTTTTAATAAGTGAAAGTAGTAATAAATTCACTTGGCATTGTTTACCTGAATCTTCCCATTGATGATTAAAATTATCGTTGGGAAAGGATTGCTGAGCATGATAAGATAAAATGCTAAAATTGAGATGAAATGTAATCAGGCGAATCATAGAAATAGAAATGAACCAGTTGGGGAGTAGAAGGTCTATGAAGATGGAACGGGGAACAGAAGTCTATAAAGGAAGAAAAGTATGAAGAAGGATGAAAATCATGAGACATTAAGACCATGTTAGAAGAAGAGGTTGTACAAATTTCTTCCGGACACACAATTATGGTTTCCCTAGATGTATAGCTGCTGCTTAGGCAATGTTCAGAAAATGCTATATAACTGCCTCGGGAACCTTCTACTTACCTTGTAAATGACTTTGGACGCAGAGTTCGCTTTGATTGAGTGACCTGTGTTTACAAGGTTTTTCGGTTTTTGAGCCGTTTCCTCCTCTTTCTAGCCAAGACGAGTAATGTTCTTGAATTCGTTTAAACAAAGTGAGAAAACGCATTTGTATACACTCTTCATGATACATAAAAGAAGCGAATTTAAATGACAAGATTGTCCTCTCTCCTTATGTCCAGTCACAATTCCCTAATTCTCATAAATAACGGATTTTATTAACTGTGCAAATATTTGGTATTTCTTTCAAGGATTCATATGAACAGCTTAGAACTTTATCAAATAGGATTCGAAACTGTAATGTTTACTAGATTTCCTCCCGTTTAATTTCTTCCATATATGGTAAATAAATGTATATAACATTTACTTTGAAGAAAACAAACTGTATTTTAGTTGTGTTTTAAAATTCTGGTGTTAATCTAAACGAATAGCTGTTTTCTTTTCATATTTTCGTGTTTATACACATCAATGATCCTAAACATAATCTGTGCGACATTTTAATGATCCCCTTACTGATGTGTTTTCTTCACTCACTATAAGATATAAGTCAGCTTTCTAAACTATATGTCTATCACGGAATTTCACTTATTTTTTCTTTTTCATTTCAGCTCTTAATCATCTATCTACACCGTGAGTACCAGAACTCAAACTTTGGCATCACCATAAAGTGTGTAATTCTTTTTTGTTTTACTGAAAGTTGATTTCTAGTTTACTCTATTATATATTTACATTACTTCAACCTGATCATAGTTTTATTTGTTAACTAATTCATTGTTAGGAAAAATCGTAATTTACAGTTTATTTGGTTCTTTGAATTATTTATTTATCCCTCTTTTTTGTAGCGTTTAATCTGTTTCAATTTAATATTTCTAACACTCTAAATAGTATGAATATATTCACTTGAAGTTGCCTAAAATAGCTTTTCTCGCATTCTCATAGAAACACGTGTATTTATTGGCTTTTGTTCATGAATTACTATTATTATTACTACCTCTTCATATGTGTTTCCATGGTCATAAATTACTTCAATGAGAAATTGTTTTTTTTTTTGTGGTTCTTTGTGTTTACTGCTGTTCGATAATTTTTGGTGGATCATATTTTTCATCTGTTATGGGATAGCAGAATAATGGCCAGCAAGACTACTAGAATATGCAAATAACTAAGTCGTAAACTATAGGTAATTCAGTAAGGTTATGAGTTAAGACACAAATTAAACTCATTTTTGGGGATATCCTTATTTTGGAATATAACAAATATAGTTGATAATTTTACCTGTAATTAACTAGTAAGAGAATAAATGTAAAGTTGAAACTCCTATCTTGTTTCAAGATTTATCATAGATATTAGCTTTTAACTGAGCATGAACTACTGCACACATTCCTATAATAATGAGATGCAGTTTAGGTAACGGGTCCCATCCTTGTAGATTCTTTTTGACCTAGATGAAATGTAGTATTTTAAAAGGAAATTATGACATCAGCTCATGTCTTATGATTTTTTTCTCAAGAAATAAAAATGTCAGTGGTTTTCTGTTAAAGGTAATTAATATTTTTTTCAACAATGTCGGAGAATGTTATATTTTGTATGACTTTCAGCCTCATGTCTGATAAAAAGCTTAGTAGAATGTAAAATAAATACGAAAAATCTATATGTTGATAACTGATGATTTTAATTCCAATATGTACATGATTTATTTAAACTCTTAGCTAGCTGGCTTAAAACCATCCAAGTGTAGCTCAGAAGAAACGGATATTGCTAAAATCCAAAGTTAGTTACAGTTTCTAATAAACCGAGTTTGTAGTTAAAATCGTACGTGAGATTATAACAATGTTTCAACGTAATGTTTAGTCGATCAACATAGAGTTCTAAAAGTTTGCATAGAATACTTCAATTCTACTATATATATTCAAGCGTCATACTTCTGCTGCAAATACCGTGGCGTGTTGTATACGTGAAGTGTTAACGTTATGATCACAGCACTCTTCTCTTAATCAATGAGATGTATGTTCGAATCCCGTTTCACTTTCATCGGCTTAGATTATTAGGTAATATCACTAACGCGTATGTTAACAGTTTGGTTCAAAGTCAGGTAAATTACAGAAGCATTATTAAAAGTTGTTTTCACCTGGTATAGTGCGAAAGATAGAAAGCTGACATGGCTCAGAATCTATCATAATGGCTTAGGTGTGTATACTCTTTTTCTTCTCTTAAATCGTGAGATTAGAATTGCTTTATACCTTTATTCATGTGAAATAGTTCCTTCTTCCTGTATTATATCCTTATGCACAATCTTTCTTTTATATATTGCTACCATTAAAGTAACTACTATGAATTTGGTGTTCATCTTGTGCTAATGAGGTATGGCAGCTTTGACCGATGCATATATGTGCTTGGTCCTACGTTGCAGCTGACTGTCTCACGCTTCGTTTCTCTTTAAAGACATACACATAATCTCTGATAGGCTAACTCTATGATTTTTATGGTGTATTCTGAGTACAGTGTTTTTTAACCCCTATCAAAGCTCTAGTAATTTTTAACGTCAGTCGTAGAATGATACTCTTGATTCACCATCAGAAACTTAATCATGGGCCCCTTTAGTCACGAATTAAGAATCAGGTTAAAAAATAAACTTCATCTAGCACTTTTTATCCATAAGGATGTTTTGGAATCAGATGCCTCATCAACTACTCAACGGTATGTTATGTCGTCTATATGATTGTTGTGATACTCGTTTCCAATTTAAAATGTATATCCCTAAAGCATCTATACTGTCAATAAAGTGCATAGAGCTTAAAATCCTATTTTATTTATTCTCTGCGAAATATATATTTTGAAATATTCATATCACCCGTTGATTCTATTGGGAATCATTATTCAAAATAGAATTCTCACTATTAATTCTATATAATCATTAATTTGATTAAAATTTTTCACTAAAATCATAACAGTAGAAATTTCGTCTGATATTCGAATTAGTGTGATGACAGGACGTTTAATAACATTCAAATGTCATTTGATGCTGATTAAGTGAATCATACCGTTTTGGATGTTTTGGCTAATTCTGTTGGTTTTGGTCTATTATCTAGTTTCATGACTTCAAGTGAGTTAATAAATTGATTGACTTTCATGAGGATCTGTTATTCGGCCAAGTCATTATTCTCTTTGAATGTACTGATATTTTGTCTGTCATTTTAACATTCCAAAATGAAATTATAGCAGTGGTACCAGAAGCAGAAACTGAATATATACACGAAACATAATTAAACGATGATCACCGGACATCAGTAAGCTGACTGAAGTGCATTTATTATCAAGATGAAGCGGTGAGTGACGTGATATCTTTAATTAGTGAAATAAATCTAAATGACCCTACCAAGAGGTCAAAATCCTAAGAGAAACTTCTGATACAAAGTCCTGCAGCAAATACATCTTATTTTCGCTTTTGACTAAATAAATCTTAAGATGGAGTAAAATCTGTCTAAACTTTCATAAAATTAGTTGGTATCAGTATCCTAATAAACATGTATTGTCACTGCAACTATCCTTACTTGTACTTCTGTGGAGCGCAAACATGTTACATTGATTATTTCAGAAGTTAAATGAAAATTAATTGTTTAACAAATAATCAGGCTTTTCGATCATGTTATTTCCATAATCATTAACTGAATTACAATATTCATGTTTACCCTATTTTTGGATCTAGGTCAACTTTAATCTAATCAAATTTTTGATTAACAGTTATTAAACTCCATTCCATTATTGAAATATTCTGAAAATCAAGTTATTTCCGCTACAATGATTAAGGTGGAATTAGTAACATATTCCTAACATTCTATTATTGATGCGTACATTATTAAATGTAATTTCTTGTTGAAGAATTTTTATAGACTTAATAAAACTTTAATTGATGTGCAATACTTATTAAAAAGTATGACATAATACAATGTAAGCTAAATAAATACAAGAAGCGTAATGAAAAACTATTTGTACATCAAATCATGTCTAAATCATATTAATAAAATGACGACATTGCTTGCTATCAACCATCAGTCAATGGATTACTCCAAATAGAAAACGTCAGACCACTTGTCAACATTATAAGAAGCTCTTAATATCAATTTGAACAAACTGTTCATGCTCCCAGTTAGTTTAAATGACTAGTTGCATTCTGATAATTTATTAGATACCAATGAAGATTGGTTTAGACTGAGCAATCGCTTGTAAATTCATTTAGAATGTAGGGGATATATTTACATAATGGAAACAAAATGAACTAATAGGAAAATAGTCTTTAACTTTATTAAGAATTGAGGCCACCTCAATTAGAGGATTTGATAGACAATAGAACTGTTAGTTTACAAAACAGAAATAAAATATTGTATCTGTGGGAAACTTCATCTAGATTTGAGCGAAAAGTTCCACAGCAGTTAGGCACTGAGTTAATATAAAAGGAAATTATGTTTGTATCGTAAGCGGTTTTCTGGTAACTGGTTCAAAGTTCTACGAGTCAAGTCTTGGATTCCCTACATTGGTTGGCTAGATATCAAACTTATAAAGCAAAAACGACTGATATCTGGTTGATAAAGCAACTTGGTTCATCTACGAACTGAGTTGGCTGTATTCATAATCTGGGAATTAAAACATTTAGAACAAGCAGATGTAAACTGTATCTGTCTTTTGGATTTAATTGTTATCTGAACTGAATGCTCATGGTGCGAAATGTTACTTATCTATTAACTTGATTTCTAAAACGAAGGACAACTGGTATTTTATGTACTAATATCACAGAGATTTTCTCATCAATCTAGGAATTGTTTTTGATTTTGACTGTTGGCTCTATAAGTATTTCATTATCATTGTTAACCAGTCAATATGTGACGATTCTTAAAAGGAATTATAATACATGACCAAACAACACATGCCACCTGAGCCCGTAGTGTTTCAAGACATGCCACGTTCAACTATGTACAAGCTATGGTTAATGTGTAGATGATTGATTTAATTATACTGACCACCCACGCGTTTATTTTGGGGTCAGTCTCTCTGCCTGTAAGTATATTGTAATCTCTTAAATAATTTAGAATACAGTTTCTTATGTAATCTTGTTTTCTTTATATGTCTAATTTGTCTGATCAAATATATAAGAGCATGAACAGTTACTGAACCGAACCAGATTGATGGGGATGTGAAATCCTCATATATTAAATTTATTTTAAAAAAAACAATTTTTAGAACTCATAGACTGATTTAAAGTTAGCTTGGTTGATTGACTTCTGATATGTGGATCAATTTATTCCGAATGAAGTTCATTGTTTTATTTTCAATACATCTTCATTGTATTAGTTAACGAACTGTGATTTGTATTGTTATAATTATTCCGTTCATAAATTATAATCATTTCAGTCGATTCATAATTGATTAACTTTGCTTTCCTTTTTAGAAATATGTTTATGATTCTCTCCAAGTCGTGTTCTGACCGCTCGAGTTAAGTAAAGTCTTCAACCACACTAGACCATAGAACAAGACATAGTACATATTATAACAGTACTTTAGTAAAGGGGACTAGAATGTACCAGACGGCGCTTGCTACTTGCGGCATATAACGCCTTAGAAAGTTGGTTTCATTAATAGCAATCCTGTTACTTCAAATGTGATCAATAAGCTAAAATTACTTAAAAACGGTCTATTGGATTTCGGATGCCTCTTTGTTATACCCTGATGAGAAATCTAGTCTAGTTTCCGTAGCAATAACTTTTCTGTTAATCAGTTTTAATTGGCTATAATATGTGGACAAATACTTATTGATGTAATTTTGTGGTTTCCGTGACTATTTTTATCGATTTGATCAAACATTTCCCCCGGTGATTTGATGAGTAATTTGTTGACAATTTTCGTAATTATGCATTTAGTGATACTCATAGCTTACGCTGAAATGTGTTGCCTTTGAAATGGTTAAGTGTTAGTAAAGTCGTTGTGACACTGAATACGGTTGAAATGCAGTTTCTATTTCATTTGTAGTAACAACCCACATATTCCTTAAGAAACCGTGTAAAATACATTTTTATGGTACAAGATATACAACAAATAGGGTGTATAACAGTCAGAATGAAATTAGCTCTACGAAGTTGCTTTGGACAATCTGACTACCAAAACGTAAGAACATAAAAATTCATCATATTATGGTATCCTCGAAAGTAACTAACTAGTCATTTTTTCAGTAATAAGTCTGTACTTTGTGGAACCTAACAGTTATTACATTGTCTTATGCAAATCAAGTCAAACATCATCCAAAGAATCTGACTAAGCTATTATTGTCTTTACGAGGAATTCCAGTGAGATTTTAAACCTTATGTACATGAACTTAAGTACTGGTTAATTCGAATAAATTCACGAATATACCAGGATTTCAAAGATGTTGGTCCTACTGAAGCAAAACTTCTGCAGTAAGGTATGTGAAAGTATTGAGAAGAAACTCATATTATTGCACGTTACCTAAGTCAACAGGGGATAACTGAAGTTGCTAATGGTTTTTTAAAGTATGCTAGCAGACATTTGATAAATGCATGTCACTTTAATCTTCTAAACGTTATTTCACCGATCTTTGGTTTTATAGTAGCTGTCTCATATTCATCGGATGTTTACTGTTATCAATGTGTGAAAATTGTTGTATCTAACCTAATAGTCTCTGATTTATAAAATTAGGGTTACTCGTTTTCAGTGGGACTTTAAGGGCTATTTGAAATTTAAAGGTAGCTGTATTTACTCCATGTTCTAAAATGAACAATTTTACGTGAAAAATTTGGTCGTTACTAGGTAGCCTCCATACTTGTTTCGCTTTTTTAATTGTTAAAAAGACCAGACACTAAAGGTCACAACAATACAATATATATAAATCGTGGTCGCTTGACCTAATGCCTGAAATGAACTAAGTGTTTAAACATCAAATCAATTTAATACTTTTAATGACTCGTTCAGGAGATATGAAATGACTGTATCAAATGGTTACTTCTATGTGTAGCAAATACTATGTTGATATACTAAAAACCTCTGAAAGTCAAAGAGAATGAATACGTAGATTGCTTTTTATACAGACAGTTTATTGCATCAACATCTAGTTTTCCTTTGGACACAACGATTTTTATCATACTGCGATTTCAACGAAAGAGACTGCAAACAAGGAATTAATCAATTAAGAATTGTAAGCCGATTGATTCTGATCGAAGTTTAATGGTTTGGTGCTTGCCAAGAGACCTTATGATCCTGGGTTCGGTCCCATATCGAGCTGTGAGTAAGCACTGAAGCTTAGATGTAAAACAAAAGAGCTCCCTTGTTCCTCCTAGTTTTAGATTGTATTTCAACTGATATTGGTTCAAGATGAAAACTGATTTCCCACCGAGCAGTATCAACAAACTTCTACCTTAATCATAAAATTATCGGCACTATTATAACCGTCATAATATAGTCGTTTATCTAACTTCTAAACACAACAACTTCAGACTATTTTACAATAGTCAATCACTCTAAAACTTCTGACCTACCTTTTATCAAACTTGAAAGTAAAGCTTTATAATACGGTGTATTCTGAATAACTGGAAAATTTGGAGACTAAACTCAAAGTTTGTAACAGCATACAATTCAAATCAGGCGGAAAAATAATTATTTACGGACTGACGGTTAAACTAAGAGTACATTCTTCACGGATTACGCTGGACGTTTAAATCCACGTAAAATAATGCTGATACACCATTGTTGAACCTTTACATAATTATCATCCAAGGAAACAGATTGAATTATTTTGAATAAATAGATTTTCCACTTGCGTTCGACACGCAACAATCATCAGTAATCAATATCAACCATATCAACAAAGATTACTCTATATAAATCTTTGCAATAAAAGCTAAGTGACATGTATTTTATGTTTATTTAGGCGTTAAAAATAAGTTCCTTGCATGTTTTTTATCACTCATATAACGTGTTAAGTTATACATCAATAATCCTTCAGTGTTAAAACTAACCAGTTTTCGTTGGGGGAAACATTATAATTACTCGTTAGTTCAATGAAAAAATTTACTATATCAGTTGAATGTTAGAACTTTTTATGGTAACAAAACGTAACTTAAAATGTTTTAGTTGTTAGATTATTTGAAATCAGCTATGTAACGATTTGATTGTTTAACTAGTTACCTACTGTCAGAACTCAAACTAATTAACTTAGACATTATGTTGACTTATTTGATCGAACATATATTCAATCGAATAGTTGATATACAAGAATGAAAAATATCATAAATCACATTGAATGTTAGTGTTTATTTAATATATGAGTTTACCTGAGTACCAGTTAGCTTCGCTGAGACTTGCCTCCACTAAAAGAAGTAGATATTTGATCATTTTAATTATGGAGTCACAGAAAATTTTATTAAAATTTAAATGCTATATGAACTAGATTCGTTCAGTTTAGGTACATAAAATATGATAGAATTTTAAGAAAATAGCTGCCATCAATCTAACGTTCGGCTGTAATATTAGTTGAAATTATAAAAGTCAGCTTATACGAGTATCGTTATAACTACTACATGGATTAGTTGGAAAACGTAATGAAAATAAATTGAGTAATTTAAATAGTTGAGATCATGAAGCTAGACCACTGTGGAAAACCTGGAAGTATTGAACGGCCGTTTCGTGGATTAGTTGAAGCTAAGCATTAACACCATTGGATGCCGGCTCAGTGGTCTAGTAGTTAAGCGCTCGACATTGATAGGTCCTGGGTCCGAATCCTGGAGGGCAGGGTCGTGGGTGCGCACTGCTAAGGAGTCCCAAAATAGGACGAAAAGGCCGTCCAGTGCTTCCAGATTTTCCATGGTGGTCTAGCTTCAATTGACTCATGATTTCAACTATTGTAGTTAATACAATCTCCACAAAACTTCTGATACTAATAAATTTAGTATTTACTTACATAATACACTGTCTCGAAAATCTGTACAGGGAATTTCAATGAGTATAATAAAATAAAGTTATGTAGAATGAAGCTATTGTAAATATAACTCATAAAAGTAATTAAGAATTTTTGTATACCTTATAGTGTGATCAGTGAGTTTCATTATGAAAAATATCATTATCACTAACTCAAGTGAACGTTCATGCAATAAATGAATTTTAAATAGTATTCTTATCATGTTTATTTTTGTCCGATATTTTGTACATAAGCAAGTAATTGGATTAGATGAAATACAATTTTTTTGAATAGCTATTTTGTCTTCTGAAATCTATTCTATCTGAAGGCTTGGTTCGATAAATTGGTCTTATGGGCAGTTAGCACTTTATAGAATAGCATTATTACACATTATCGATCGATCAAATTTTTGTATCCATTAATCTAATACTCTAAACGATTTTTTACAAAAAATCAGGTAAAACAGTTTGCCATTAAACACCCTTTAATGACTAATTAGTCTATCCACTCCAGTTTTTGAATAAAAAAACGGAATCAGAATCCATCAGCAACATACTGAACATTCGAGTGATTCAATTCAACACATACAAATCATTAGTTGAGATCTCTCCAACAACGGTCTCCAACTAACCACTGTCCATCTATCTAATGATAGTATTATGAAAGTAGTTCCCTACTTCTGACAATCGTTTGTTAGTATTTAGCATTTAGTGCTATAACCAAGCAATTATAGTTTAATCTTTCATGGGGTATCGTGAATAAATATGAGTTAAACAATTAGATTTTTGAGTATTTTTTGGTAATTTTTTAAAATTTTGCTATGTCTAAACCAGTATGACATTCTGTCGGGTCAGTTGATAAATTAATGACCCAAACAAGTAACCTTGGTTCTTACTTAGAGATAACTACAAATTCCGGATGACAGCCAGTTCTGTTACTGCAATTCCTGTCTGTAATTAGAGTCCCATCGTTCACACACAAAGTTATCTTAACGGTCTCAACGTATTTAATAAATGACTCTACATTTAGCACAAGACTTTGTGCCATGGAAGTTAATATAATTCTGGGGCATTTAATATATCCGATAACTCAAACGGTAATGATTACTAATATTCTGTATATTTTTATCACCATGAAAATTTCTACTTTATTTCATTTGACCTTATTTGCCAAAAATTATCAAGTTATTCATCAATGATTTTGACTATGTGATTGTAACACAACTCGCTTCTCTATCGATTATTGCAAAGGATCATAATTAATAAACACATCTGTAAAGATTGTTAATGTTTTGATCAATCAAACTAGATATCACACAGCTCAATGAACATTATTTATTGATAAATGAAATACAATCCATCATATTTGTACAGAACACTAATTAGAACATTAATTGTAGTAGTGTAGATACTCGGTGACATTCGAACTTAGTGGTTATAAATTAATTTAAAAATGTATTTTGATTCATTTGAAATTGTTATTAAAATAAACATTCAATCTAAACACTGCTTTGGAAATTATTGGTCACAGTCATTCTTTAAATTAAAGGAAATGAGTACGTGTTTATTAGTTTCTGTAAGTTCACAACAAGTTTTATCTGTTAAATATAACTCGGTGCAACGTGTTATTAGTAAGGTCGATGTATATATATATATATATATATATATATATATATATATATATATATATACTTACGCCTCGTCTAGGAGCATAGACCACCCACCAACACTCTTCATTCAACTCTGTCCTGGACAGTTATTGCCAGCTCTTTCCAGTTGGTATTCATCCTTTTCATATTTGCTTCTATTTCCCAACGTGATGTGTTCTTTGGCCTTTCTCTTTTCTATTTCCATTCACGATTCCAAGTTAGCATTTGCTTCGTGATGTGGTTTGATTTCCTAAATGTATGTCCTATCCAATTCTGACGTCTTTTCCGAATTTCCTCTTGAGCTGGAAGCTGTTTTGTTCTCCCATAGTAGGCTACTGCTGATGGCATCCGGTCAACGGACATTGAGTATCTTGCGTAGACAATGGTTTATAAATACTTGTGCTGTTTTGATGATGATTGTGGTAGTTCTCGAATTTTCAACTCTGTACAGTAGAACTGTCTTGATGTTCGTATTGGAGATTCTCGTTTTGATATTGAATATATATATATATATATATATATATATATATATATATATATATATATATATATATATATATATATGGAACAGTGAAATTTTCGAGCTTTTTGTTTGTGAATTACTTTTACTCACTTCAAATTACTTTTCATAATATAGTATGTAGTAGTAGATCATCGTTAGAATCTAAGTGAACATATCATGTACAACAAGTATAAATAAAAAAACAGCAAATAATGTATACGTTGATGTAATTTAACTGCAAAATGAATACAATCACTAACAATGATCATTTATATTCAATACCTTATTCAATCTTCATTGAAGATACTAAGAAATTTAACTGAATATAAACCATATTAACTTGATTCTTTACTTATTCTTATGTTAATTATCTTTTAGTTGAGAATAAAAATTTCATATTGTTTAATACTACTCATCAGTAAGCTGAGTTAGTATTCACATTGATTTTCACGAATTATTAGTTACTCGTTTTGTATAGAAACTATTTCTTAAAAAAAAACTATATTGAAGTGAATAGAGACTCAACTTACATGCAAAATAATGAATAATTAGCGATTTCTTATTAATGAACCTTCATATACGAATGAGTATATATACAACTGAACATAAACATACAGAGAATATTCACACCATAAATATTTGTATTTTCATAAGACGTTTATATATAGATAATCAAAATTAAAAAAAATAAAGTTACATAAAAGACAGAGGAAGAAAAATTATTACATGTTTTTTAACAGATTGAAAAACTGACAAATTAACTACACACATACAAAGAAATAAGTCAACTATAATTGTGCATTGTTTATTGTTGTAGATGTGACTAAGGAATGGTCTGCTGTTGTATTCTCAATTGTGGATTGTAATAATTCGGTAGTTTCATCTAAAAGTTTGACAAAAATGTACAAGATATATTTATTGGTCTAAACAGTTCAAGTGTATAATATTGACGTAAATATTAAAATTTCAACCATGCTATAAATAGTGTTGCGGTTTGGGGCCTATGTACATACTTACTTACACCTGTTGCTCCTCGTGAAGGAGCATAGACCGCCCAACTCTGTCCTGGGCAAGGAGCTTATGTACTTATACAAATATAACTTTCTATTCCCATAGTTTCAGAAGTAGAACATTTAACCAGTAAATTACAGAAATTTGGTTTGAATTAGGCTTAAATTTAAGCTATTGGATTTGTGCAAATAAAATAACTATGGACACACCATCCCTATTTAAACATTAAGAACACGAATTTCAGCAAAGTGATCTCTCTTCAACGAATTTATTATCAAGCTGCACAATCGGATATACATATGTGAAAATTCTTTAAAGTATTAGTACCGTGAGAGCATATGAACAAAGAAGAAACAATATAATTATAACCTTTCTATTACATTATCATGTTTATTCTATTTTCATATGTCGTCACGGTACTAATACGTAAAAAAAATTTCACTTATGTATACACTATTGAACAGCTTTTTTAGATCAATAAATTCCGTATTGGACACCAAAATAAATAAAATTCTGATTAGATACTTACGTGTCTCTTCAGTTGTTACATTTTGCTCATTCTCAGTATGTTCAATAGTTTTTACTTCTTCAGATGAATTATGATTAATTTGTTTGTCAGACATTGATTCTTCATTTGAATTGATACATTCAGTCTGAAAAGTAAATCAACAGAAAATCAATACAAATTACTGTTTTCCCATAAAACAATAGTCCATTTTAATAGTTGGATTCATCAGTTAATTAAAGCTAGACCATCATGAAAAATCTGAAATCACTGGACAGTCACTTCGTCCTAATATGGGACTATTTAGCATTTCTCATCCACAATCGCGCACTACTGAGAAGTTCCGTACTAGAACGAAACGGACGTCCAGTGCTTTCAGGTTTTTCATGGTGGTCTAGCTTCAATTGACTCATGAATTCAACCATTAAATTACTAAAATCTCCACAAAACCCTCTTGTGATAATAATCCTTTTTATCGTACTATGTTATATCATTTAAATTTAAAAGAAAGGACATATTTAGCATGAAGAGGTTGCTTAGAAATTATACCATATGCATTTTTAACAAACTAAAATACAGTTCTTAATGTTTAAGTGACTAATATCCAATGTTATTTTCAATCATGTTATATATTGACAGAAATTATAAGATAAATAAATGTAAATAGTATAAAGTGAGAGAAATAATGATCTAATTACAAATTAGATTAAATATTTGGTGAAAGACTACATAGTGACTACATATAAAGTGACATGAACTCTGTAAACAATAACAAATTTGGAGCTAAGTTCTAATTGAATTATTCATATATCTGGAAGATAATTATTGATGATTTAAAGATATGTGAATAATAATGGTAATGATTATGGTATCTGAATTAAACTAATTTCAAGTTATGAAAATATAAAAGGGTAAAGGTTGTATGTTCATAATGAAATCAAGTCATTCTATAATATAGATGACTACTAACTTATTGTGCCTATGGTTGATAAAAGATAAGATAACAGGTTGAACATATTTCCTTTATACACATAAATTTCGTTTTTTAGTAAGGATAACTATGATTTTTAGCGTTCGGAAGATTAGGACTTACAAAATTTGGTAAAAAGTTACTAACCAGATAGACTATTGAGAATGATAGATGTATGTTGGCACCATAACTACTTTGAATGAATTGAATCCAGGTGTTTACTGTTTTAACAATACCTAAGTGAACCTGGAAGGGTTTCACATGAACAGAAATGTAAGTCCCTAGAAACCCGGCCAAATTAAATGTATTCACATGCTACAATTATCAAAAATCTATTTACCCTAAACTTTCCTATTTTTCTGGATTAGTAATTCGGATAGTATAACTGAACAACCTGAGGAAAATTTATTGAAAGAATGTCCTTCGTTCATATAATAATGTTTTAAAATAATGAGAATTTTTAAACAGTTCTAATTAAACTGATTACCTTATATTCCATAACGGGCTTTTCCTTTTTAAAGGAGTGATGCTGTAAGGTTTATTTGGAAAAAAAACAACAACAGTAGAATATATTAAATTACAAAGTTATATACTTTCAATAAAGAATTAATCACTGAGCTTAAAAAGTTACTAAATTAAGACCAGTGTGATCGTTGTTAACTAAATGGTTACTAACTCTTATACTGTAGCCAATAAATACGATATTTAAGTCCAACATATTTTTTAGTTACATTTAGTCATTGCACATTCAGTGAGTACAAAACCTTAAGGACTAAAATATAATACTGAGTTCTGCCGAAAATATTTGATAGTCAATTGTGTCAAATAGTTTGAATGTAACATTTTTTAGTGTTACAATGCAACTGATGAGTTTAAACTGGAAGACTCTCATAGTTCGAGTAAAAATAGTTTAATTTTTGAAGATCACTATCGACAAATATAAGAGAACAATTTGTTACGCCTTTATGAATACGTTAAACTACTTATTGATAAACTTTGACAAACTATACGTTCATTTCAACTGAATTAAGATAGCTATGTAGCTGTATAATTTCATGCCGGAAACCACACCATCTTCGATGAAGTAAATGATGCGAAATAGGTCAACTTTAATTTCAAAAGACACTTACTTATATAAGAATTTTATGCAAACTTGATTGTTTACTAGAGACTACATACTAAGAAAATATACAGAATCACTACAAAATCCTATGTTGCATAATATACTGAACAAAGTCCAAACTAAATTAATGCACATCCATATTATCTAAAGTAAACGTTACATTGATAAAATACCATTGAAAAAGTAGGCAACTATCATGTTCAATTATAACGAATGTTATATTAACCAAAAACTACAGAATTGAAAACATCATCTCAAATTATAATTCTATCCTAACATATTGTCAATGAATTTTCACGTATGATGAAGATTAATACTATCAAATATGATATCTATATATGGATAAAATTAAAATTTTCTACCTTTGGTAAATGAATATGTACATTTTTCTTTAACCATTTGACTAGATTGACTTTTTTCTGTTAACAACAAAAAAAAGAATTATAAAATGGTAATATGATCAGTATCAGAGTTATCAATCGAAATTACAATTTGTCATAAATTTATCCATCAGTAAATCAATTAACTAACCTTGTGTTCTTTGTCTTTCTCGCCTGATGAATTCTATAATGATAGAAGGGAATAAATAACTATATTACAGTAGTAGTAGTAATTAGTATTTGAATATATAAATATATAATGCTAAACCATGTAAATTGATTGTACTTTACCGAAGTGAAAATACTTACTGTCTGGATTTGTTGTACGTAACGTTTTATGTAGTACTACCAAGATTAATTTCAAAGAAATATAACATTGAATAGAGTCGTTTATTTATTTATTTTTAATGTTATATTTGTAATATCTTAATGAGTTTTTCTAATTTCGTTTGCCAATGAAGCTTGTGTTAAAATTGTGTAAACGTCATTTGCGTTATGAAGAAAATGAGATCTACACAGTCATGAAAAGTTAGAAATTGAGTTTTTTCTGCTTATTTGAATATTTCAAACATACTATGTTGCCATATGATGATAAGTGAATATTGTGAAAACCTAATGGAAACTATGCTCAAAATAGTTAATTCATTTGATTACTTAGAATATATCACTACAGTATTCTTTTTCCTGTTAGATAAATGAAAGTTATTTTTATATATGTGAACTATCAGCTAAATGATAGAATATTAAATATTGATTTTATAGCAATATGGTTGGAGGTTGCCTGTTGAGTTATAGCTTCACTTTTCTTAAGAACAAATTAGGTGTATCACAAAAAGATAATCTTTATTATTGAAGATCAACTTTGCAAGTGCTATGATTCACTGATACTGTCTAAAATCAAGTTTAAATGGTATTAATCTCTAACGAAATAATTCAAACAAATAATAGCTTGACCACTTATTCTTTATGCATAGAACAACTGGATGTGGCCATGTTGATAACAGCGATAATAATGATAATTTCTAGTCCTCTATTATAGATTAGTAGAGAAGAGAAATGTATTATTTGATGGTTTGTTATTATTTACTGTCACAAACACTAACCACTATCGATATCTGATTTAATGACTTACTATAGATGTAAATATTTGATAAACATGGTGAGATAAACTGATTAATGCTTTACAATAACAATCGTTTCACAATATAGTATGATCATTTCACTAGTCAATTATTGTTATCTTTCTTAACGTGTTATATTCATGAATTATGAATTTAGTGTAGACTTCCAACCAGTAGTACATTACTAGCATGAATTGTTATGAATTATGGACTGTTTAAAAAAAGATTGTACATATATTAGCCTAAACTTCAAGCCAATGAATTCAACTTCAATTTATCATTAAGTTATAATTGCTGAATCATGGTTATCAAGACGCATGTTCTTTTAAAACTATGAACTATTATCAGCTAAAAACTATATATGGATAATAGTAAGGTTTTTAATTGTAGTTTAACGCATAGTTTACAATATTTGATATTTGTAATTATTTCCCTGAATGTAAAATCAAACTAATTGACTGATTAATCAAATCACCAAAGAAAAAAAATTAAGGCTAAAATGATTACCTCGGTTGTTTCAGATTGTTCTAGATTTTTGTCAATGATTTCAAAAGTTGATGGTTTTTCTGAATCATCTTCTTTGTTTGAAATTTCTTTTAATTTTGTATTTTTGTCTTTTTCTTCTTCTTCTTCTTCCTCTTTTGCTTCATCGTCACCTTCATTTTCTCGACTTTTCAATATTTCGATTGATGAATTAACGTCTGTTTTACACCGATCATTTTCTTTAATTACAACAGCTTCATTCTGTTTATTTTAAAATATGAAAATTAATGAAATAGTCAATGTTTACTTGATTCTCTTCTTCTTTATCTAGTTCACTATTATTTACTATTATTTCTTCTGATTGTATAGAATCATCTTTTATTGGATAGTGTTGATCCTAGAAAATAAAATTTTATATTATCAATTATTTGAATAGAAAATAGTTTACATGGTTTCTTTCTACTTCATTAGGACAATTCACTATTTCATCAGTGTTACAAATAGAGGTTTGTTCATCTGACATTTCTATTTTTTTTATATTTTACTGAATGTATCTTCAAAATCGTAGAATCGTTTTTTTTGTCTGAAACTCAATTTATTATTTATTGAGTTAACTAAATGAGGTCAATGTTTATATAAGAAACATTGGACAGTTTGATATGAATTTCATTGGTTAATTAATAATATTGTCATTATCATCATTATCATTAATTATTTTACATGTAATAGTTTCATTGTAAAAAATAAAGCTTAGTCAAAATGAATGTATTTCATTGATAAATCACGTTTACAACTAGGTATACATTTATGTAAGTATGTTTATGAATCAATTTAATATTTAACAAACATATTTATAAAACATAAAGTTATCATTTCATTATTGTTATCGGAAATAATAACGAATATGTGAAATAATTACCAAGTAATACAATGGTAACAATAATGTTTCATTTACCTTAATTATTGAATACAAATTAGAATATGGTTACTGAATTCAATGAAATTTGAAAATAATAATTGAGTATATACCTATAGATTGTTTTTCTTAGTGATACAAAAAATTTATTTTATTTTTGTTTAGTAACCGAGTTAATATTCATTCTTCGGCAAGACTATAATTTATGGACGAGCCAATCAGATTTAAGATAACAGGTCTTGGATTTTGGCGCGAAATTCACTCACTCATTCGTCCAAATAGCGTCTCGGCATTTTAACCGATGTCAGTTTGTAATGAAAACCATAAATCTAAATTTTAACCTTTACCATCGACTGTTAATCGTTGTCTTTATTCTTTAAACTGCTTTATAACCTTCATTTAGCTCTATTAAGTGGGTAGACACTCTCAAGGTCACTTTGGCATCGCTCAGAGGTCATCCATAAATTACAGTCTCATCCATTCTTCTTTTTGGCTTTTAGTCACACTACTTATATTAGGATTAATGATACTATCAAACTATTCAAGTCGAAGTAAATGGGTCGAGGTTCACATCTGTAATCCTATTGTTGAACATGAAGTGTATTTAATTACTGAATCATGATCACACTAATGATTGAATATTATCACAATGGAAAGAAGTATTTTTTCTATACAACACACCAATCAAATATTCAGAGTAAGATGGATAAAGGTTAAGGTTAAATAGACTGAAACATATCTTCAGTATTAGAAATCACTGGTTATTGGTTTAAGCCTTATTACGACAGCCAGATTCCCTAAATGATAATTGTAAGATAAGTGCTCTTTATGTTTACTGACATTAAGTAATGTGTTTTGAAATCTATCCAAATAACCCAGGTTCATTCTTTCCTTTTAAAAAAATTCTAAGTCCTGAGTTCCAACATTCCTTCATACATTTTTTAACATTTTTTTACCAATTCTATCTCAAATATATCCTATTTACTAATCAGTGATATTAATTCCATGCTGTTGATCATCTTTGATCTTGTCACTATGAGATACAACAACTTGGACAGATAATAAATCAATATATTTATAATGTCCTAATGAGTAGAAAAATGAGATTTTCTGACGTTTCGTGACTCGGATTTAGTTACTAAGTCTCTGAAGAAGTGGCTTACACTGAGTCACAAAACGTCAGAAAATCTCATTTTCCTACTCATTGGGATATTACAGGTATATTTATTTATTTATAATAATTTAACCTATGCTCAATTTATTCGAAATTATCAAGCCAAACCTTGATATTGATACCTACAAATTGGACAGATGTTTATTTGCTACTGTAATCATGGTTAGTTATAGTTAACTAATTGAACCATGCAGTATTATCTCATAATTGAGTCATTGAAATGTCCAGTTATGAGATAATTAAGTACTGCAGTATTATTATGTTCAGTACTGTTTAATTGTTGCGGTTGGAATTTTATATTCCTGTCATGAATTTTATTTTCTCTTCTTTATTAATCCTGAATCTAAGACTGTGTATCGTTTACCTCCAATTACTAAATATCAAACAAGATTCGCTTCAATATCAAGTCACTCCATCTAGTCTCTAAAATGCAACTTGAATGATAGGTTTTCCATTAACCCTAACGTGACAGTAGTTAGTGTATAAAAACATTATCTCATAGAAAATATAAACAGGATAACTACAGTCAGTAATCATTGACATTTAAATCAATAAGTTGGTCACACAAAAACATTTGATAACCTTTTTTTAAAAAAAAATCAGTCATATAGTACTAAGTATCCACTGAATTATGATTCTCTCGGATACATTTACATACAAATAATCACAAATAAATAGTCGTCAACTTGTAATATAACATTTATACTGAAATATTGCACATTAAACTGAATTAGAATTCAACACATTATTGCATAGTATATTAACATTCGATAAAAATTAATTGCAATTCATTTATTTGGTCATCAATGAGTAAGTCATTTAAAAAGACTCTTTTTTGTCATGTTATAACTTTAGGTTACTATGTCTGTAATGATAATTAAAAGTTTTGTATTGTGCCAATTTTGCTGTAACCGTTTTATTTTTATTTATTTATTTTTTTGAAAACAAAACTATCCAATGTTTACAAATAAATAAATGTACAATTTACTCAAACAACTGTGTAGAACTTGAGTATTTATATAATAAAACATTTATGAAAATACACCTAATTCGACCGCTTTAATCGAACATGAACAAAATACATAAATACATTTTGATAATGTTATACTTACAAACATAGTTTGTAATAGTTAATAATAATGAACTTATCATGAACAATAATTTACCATTCTATTTATTTGGCACGTAATCATAAACACTGTTTCATTGATACGAAAATTATCTATCGATTATGACATGTGTCTAATATGATTAGTGTATGATTTCATTTTGCCTCTCTCTCTCTTACTTCATTTATATCGATATGTATCGTCAGAAATATTTAGTTAGAAACTATTTCATAAAATGACTAACTGACATTCTGGTGAGGTGAAAATGTAACCAGCTCATTGAGAGATGGAAGCTATAGGGTTGATCCTATGTAGATTAGTGATTGTATACCAGTGAGTTTTCTACTAGTCTGAGGCATCTGTCTGGTGTTCAATTTATAATACAAACTTTTTGAAGTGGCGGAATCGGACATCTCAGTTTGAAGATTGACGGTAGATATACTATGAGAAAGAGGTGAATAATACTATGTTTAATAACAATCATGAGTCTGTTTGACCATTTTTAAATTATGTTCAAAGATTTATACGAATATTCGTCAAGATTAGAACGAATAGTTTGACAGTAATTGAGCACCGAGTATAGAGAAGTCATTATATGTGAAAATTATATTTGAAATAATCTCAGCGATTGAAATTTAACTAATTCCAACGTTTCGTCCAGCTAACTTGTCTGGACTTCTTCAGGGTAATAATCAAAATCAAAGATGATATATGGTTTATTTTATCTACTGGCTGAACTAAATTCCTTGGAATCAAATCAACTAATATCAACAACTTGAAAGTATCTGAAGACTAGTTTACTGTAATGCTAGAATTTTAAGTGGTATACAACCGTCAACTCATTACTGGAGAAACTAAATCCCACATCTACATGTCTTATACCAAGCATATTACTGTTAATTAACTGAATGAAGAAACAAATGTTGAACATTTTCACATTCAGCTCATCTGTTTATGATTATTTGAATGGGATCTTTATTTGTTTCAAAAAGTTCTAGCTTTGTCATGTGTGTCTGTTTAGTAGCTTAAAATTATCAATCCTAGTGTGTCATCATTGATTTTGACGACCCGTCATTTAACGTTCAATGATCATTCTTCCAAGGAAGGGATACACTTGGCTTTATAGATAATTTGACTGGGGTTATTTTTATTTAAGAAAGAAAGATTAGTTCAGCGAAGAGTTCTCTTTTCGGCGAATTCATTTTCAAAGCTGTACAATCGCAAATATATATACTTATTTTTACAGGGTGATAATAATACTGATAATACCTTTGTTTATTTAACCTCACTGTCACCATGTATATCATAAGTTTATTATCAGTATTATTATCACCCTGTAAAAATAAGTATATATATTTGCGATTGTACAGCTTTGAAAATGAATTCGCCGAAAAGAGAACTCTTCGCTGAACTAATCTTTCTTTCTTATTTAATGTCATAATGGGTGTATTCCGTTTATTATTTTTGTTTTACCGATCATACGGATATAATAGCTGTTACCCTGAATGATAATCCAGTCAGTCAGTCATCTACAATGTAGGATCAGGCACATACATACATCGATCCAAGTTGCCATACCTCATGAGCACAACAAGATGAACACCGAATTCATAGAAGCAGTTACTTCAAAAAAACATTTCATATAAAGATATGATACAGGAAGAAAGGAATGGTTCGTAGAAAGAAAGATAAAAATCAACTTTATTCTCACAGTTTAAGGGAAGACAGAGTGTATAAACCTACGCCATTGTGATCGATTCTGAGCCATATCACCCAGAGTCTTCAACCATTGGTTGCAATAGTCACACCGATCCCAACCAAGTAGTCTGCATCTATTAACATGACCTAGACCAGTAGTTAGTGACTTCAAACACTGATGCCACGTTCTGGTTTGGCCACCCCTAACTTCCTTCCATTCGTCTCCAACACACGTCACCATTGCTCGATGTGGTAATCGGTGTTCAGGCATACGTAACACGTGGCCCAACCATCTCATTCGATGAAGATTCACAACCTCATTAACTGATCTACCATCATTCCCTAATACCCTGCGTCTAACATCACTATTACTTACCCAATGATCCCAGTAGATGCGAGCAATATTTCTAAGGCATCTGTGGTTAAATACTAGTAGCTTACGAGTGTCTTCTACTCTTAATGGCCATGTTTCGCTGCCGTAAAGTAAGACAGAACGGACTGCCGCGCAGTATACTCGTCCTTTTATTGATAGACGGATATCTCGCCTTCGCCATAGGTGACGTAAGTTGGCAAAAGCCAATCGAGCTTTTCGAATCCGTGCTGAGATTTCATCAGACACCAACTCATTAGGGTTGATCAGACTTCCAAGATAAGTGAAATTGTCAACGCGTTCGACTACTTCACTCCCTATCCTTAGTTC